CCCCTTGTCTCATAGCTCTGGTCCTCCATCCCCTCCCCCTTGTCTCATAGCTCTGGTCCTCCATTCCCCTAATTAGTTTTGTTGCCCTCCGCTGGACTCTCTCCAGTTCAAGGACATCCCTTCTCAGTACCGGCGACCAAAACTGGACCGCGTACTCCAGATGTGGCCGAACCAAAGATCTATATAGAGGCCCAATTATAGACTTGTCCCTGCAATACATCCCCTTCTTAATACAGGACAAAACCCTACTAGCTTTGTTTACCGCAGCTTGGCACTGCAAGCTACCATTTAGTTTGTGGTCTACAATGACACCCAAATCTTTTTCTATTTCTGACTTCCCTAGCGGCATACCCATAATTGTATAACCCATTTGTTTATTTTTATGTCCAAAGTGCATTACTTTGCATTTATCGACATTAAACCTCATCTGCCATAGTATTGCCCCTCCCCCTATTTTATCCAGGTCCTCCTGCAATGTTATATTGTCACGATCCGTTTCTAGTACCCTCCCTATTTTTGTATCGTCTGCAAACACGGAAACATGGCTATTTACTTTGAGGACTTGTAGTGTCCTCAAAGGGCGAAGTTCCCTTGTGGCTACATTGGCCAGATGTGGGTGGGATTCTTCATCCTGGTCCATCCTGGAATTTTAGGGTCTGATTTATAGATGAACCTTCCAGCATATAGGTAGGTGGATGCCATTTACATGGTCCTAGCGCCACTAGATGGGGCTGAGGAACATAGGAAATGGCTCTGATTCTCGGCACCCTCTAGAGGCGCTAGTGCTGGCACATAGCTGGGCGGAACATTTAGCTCAGACCCTAAAATTCCAGGATGGACTTTGGTCCCAATCCAAAATTCCACCCGCATCTGGCCAAAGCACCTGCAAGGGAACTTTTGAGTAGGGATGCACTGATAACGGTTTTTCAGCATCAAATACCGATATTTTTTTTTGCAGTACTCGCCGATACCGGAAGTCCCAATAAGGAAGCCAGGCAGCGTGTAATGACTTGCCACCTGACTTCCTGATTAGCCGGGAAGCTGGGTTGCGTGCAAAGACTCGCCACCCGGCTTCCCAGTTAGCAGGGAAGCCGTCTCCATGTTCCCTCGTCACCAGGTGAAGAGGGAGCATGAAGCCGGCTTTCTGCCCAATCATAAAGCCGTGGGGCGGGTAATGACTCGCCGCCCGGCTTCCTGTTTGGCCAGCTTCCCGACCAATCAGGAAGCAAGGCGGCGAGTCATTACACGCTGCCCTGCTTCCTGATTGGCCGGGAAACCGGCTCCATGCTTTCTCGTCACCAAGTGACGAGGGAGCATGGAGCTAGCTTCCCGGCCAATCAGGAAGCCGGGCAGTGTGTAATGACTCGCCGCCTGGCTTCCTGATACCGGAAGCTCAGGTATCGGGCTAGGCATCGGAGCATTTGGGCGAGTATGAGTGCTGGTCCAAATACTTGGCATCGGCACTGGTATCAGTCCATCCCGACTTTTGAGGGCACCAAAAATCAGAGCTTTGTGCTATACACTGGGCAGAACATTTATTAAAAGGAGAACTATGGGGTCAAGGCTTTTCCCCATAGTTCTCCTTAGGGTAACGGGAGGGCACAAACTAGCGTCCTCCCACCACTCTAAGCTCAGTATACCGCGAGCTACAGCTGTGGTGTACTGATCGCGGTATACTGAGATGCCGCAGCTGAAGCGGATCCCGACAATTATGTCTGGATCCGCCCAGCTGCGTGACTGACAGCTGGATGTACCCGCCCCCTCCCCCGTCCATTCCACCAGTCAGCGCTGACTTTAATCAGCCTCTTAATATGTTTTTAGAATGGACCAATCTTCCAACACAAAGCTCACCACACTAATATGACTCAAGTCTATGTGACCACTCTTGCTGGGATGGATACATTTTAGGATGGTCTGGTCTGGTCTGAAGGCCTGGGCTTTTGTCATACACTTTTTTTTTTTCTATCAAAAGCTAAAATAACAAGTTTTGGACGGACTGAACCTTCAAACTGTCAGATACGACATCACTTTATAAACAGGCCGACCTGTCAGAGCTGATACATCCCGTGAAATGAGAAATATTGATTCTGACCTTCTATATGAGAGCCGGCCAACAAACCTGAAAAACCGATATCATGGAGGAGGAGGAGAGCGAGATCATCAACTTTGTGCACAGAGACGACGATGATGATGTCTGCTCAGGATATTATATTATATTGTTATTGTTTCTAGAATATTGGATACATTGTTTAAACTGAACAAGTATCATTCCTATGATCAGAGAGCCGTCTATAGAATGCTGACATAGAGCAATCCGTCCGTCTACACACTTCCTCCATTGTAACAGTTAGACGTTTTGTACAATTTTAGCCATAAACTCATACCCGTCAGAAAAAATAATGATGTTCAATTAAATGTCTGTATATAAATAAAATAAGTGTGGCTGTGCTGTGTGGCAGAGCTGTGTATATCACAGGATTGGATGCATAACAAAACAAATCCTTTGGTAAAATATCTATCTCTGTACTCAGCTGCTTGTCTGGAGTTCAGCTTTAAAGGAGAACTATGAGGTGCGTGCTTTTCACTCACCTCATAGTTCTAGCCGACCTGTGACAATGAGACTGTCACAGGTCGGCTCAGTAGATCGGGAGGTGAGCGAACAGATACCGGCGTTCGCTCACCTCTCGATCCTGTCACGGCTCTCTGCCGTGACAGGGGGAGGGGCTGGATTCCCCTCTCCCCGCTCCGATCTGCCAGCGCTGTAGCTCCCTATATACTGAGCTTAGGGTGACGGGAGGACGCTAGTTTGTGTCCTCCCGTTACCCTAAGGAGAACTATGGGGAAAAACACTGACCCCATAGTTCTCCTTTAAGACCTTCGGTGGACTTTGCTCAAAGTTTTGAAGCCGCATAAGCACAGCAATTAGCCCTTTAAATATTAAAGAGGCGGCGTATGCCCCGTGTCAGCGTGTGCAATATTTGTGGACATCGGGCTGGAGCGACATGCTGAATTAATGTGATGATTACAGAGGCGGCTCATCTGGATATTAATAGAAGCCGGGATTGTCTTTTATGCTTTTCAACACTCGGCTAAAGGTCAGCGCATTCATTCCGGGATTATGCGCATGTGAGAGGCAAAGCCTCGTCTGAGGGTGACAATCATAGA